GTGTTTGTGCGTGTGTGTGTGTGTGTGTGTGTGTGTGTGTGTGCGTGCGTGTGTTTGTGTGTGCGTGTGTGTTTGTGTGTGCGTGCGTGCAAGTGCGTGCGTGTGAGTGTGTGTGTTTGTGTGTGTGCGTGCGTGTTTGTGTGTTTGTGTGTTTGTGAGTGTGTGCGTGTGCGTGTGTGTTTGTGTGTGCGTGTGTGTTTGTTTGTGTGTGTGTGCGCGCGTGCGTGCGTGCGTGTGTGTGTGCAAGTGAAGTCCTCTTCACTGAAGGACTTTTGTAGCTTTAATAAGAAATAAAGGAACTTTAATTCTTACAGTGAAGTCTATGCTGTTTTATTTTACATTCGATTATTCAGTTTCTGTAGCAGCTGTTAGCTGAATACTTTAGACTTGCACTGTTTGTTTCATTTGTATCTTTTTTCTGTTTTATTTGTCCTTTGCTTTTTTTGTTTTTTTATTGTATTAATGACTGTTTAATTATTTTCAATCATTTTTTGGACTTTTTTTTGTTTTTTTACACATATTAGTTACCCTAGTATTCTGCTGTGGAATTGGAAATTTCGCTTTATCGAATAATTTTGACTTGCACTGTTTGTTTCATTTGCATCTTTTTTTCTATTGTATTTGTCCTTGGCTTTTTTTTTTCTGACCTTTTAATTATTTTCAATAATTTTTTAAGGCTTTTTTTTTGTTTTGTTTTTTACTAATATTACTTACCCTAGTATTCTGCTGTCGTATTGAGAATCGTGAAATGTAGCTTAGATTGTATAATTTCGTGTGCGTGTGCGTGTGTGTTTGTGTGTGCGTGCGTGCAAGTGCGTGCGTGTGAGTGTGTGTGTTTGTGTGTGTGCGTGCGTGTTTGTGTGTTTGTGTGTTTGTGAGTGTGTGCGTGTGCGTGTGTGTTTGTGTGTGCGTGTGTGTTTGTTTGTGTGTGTGTGCGCGCGTGCGTGCGTGCGTGTGTGTGTGCAAGTGAAGTCCTCTTCACTGAAGGACTTTTGTAGCTTTAATAAGAAATAAAGGAACTTTAATTCTTACAGTGAAGTCTATGCTGTTTTATTTTACATTCAATTTTAAATTTTCTGTAGCAGCTGTTAGCTGAATACTTTAGACTTGCACTGTTTGTTTCATTTGTATCTTTTTTCTGTTTTATTTGTCCTTTGCTTTTTTTGTTTTTTTATTGTATTAATGACTGTTTAATTATTTTCAATCATTTTTTGGACTTTTTTTTGTTTTTTTACACATATTAGTTACCCTAGTATTCTGCTGTGGAATTGGAAATTTCGCTTTATCTAAAATGTAGATGTCATAGTAACATTATTTACAGAAAATATATATTTGATATATATCGCTATCTTTAAATAAATCACTCGTGTAAAGTTTTGGTTATGTGGCCTACTCATAATCATGTTTACAATATTGACCAAAATAATCGTGATTATGATTTTTGCCATAATCGAGCAGCCCTAAGTTTTAGTAATTTTGTTGTGTTTTTGTCACTTGTATTTTTTTTTAAATATGTCTATATACTTTTATTAATAAATTTTGAATTATTTTTATTTTTATTTACCGTTTTCACTTTAGTTAGTTTTAGTAATTTATGTTTTTTAATCATTTTATCAATTTAAAAAATGGCTATATAGTTGAATATTTTGACATTTTTATAATTCCATTTTAATTTATTAGTTTTAGTAATATAGATTTTGATTTTATTTTCCTTTTTTTGTTGTTGTTGTACGTTATTGTGTTTTTAAATGTCTATATTATGTTTATTAATTTTTATTTATTACTTTTTTAGTTATTTTAGTACTTCAAAACAAAAAAGAGAAATCGTGTCTGAGCAACTATATGAAATAAAATACATTTCAGTTCAAGTTGATTTTATTTCAGTTAATGAAGATGTTTTTTTATGGTTTTAAGGACCGTAAGCCTGATTCAGATCAATACATCTCTGACTCAATGCTCTTTCAGACCATTTTGGGAGATTTTCAGAAGGAGCAGGAAAAATTTGTCCAAGAGAAAAATGCAAAGAAAACAGGTATGGACATAGATGCATGAATCTGTAATTTTGTGCAGCTGTTTTGAAGGAACATCTTTATATACATTTATTTATTTGCACAAATCCTCAATCTTTTGTCTATAGACGCCGCGGTGCCGCCCTGGGTTGGATGCAACGAGGAGGAAACCATTCAGCAGCAGATACTCGCTTTATCCGCTGTGAGCTTTTCGTCCATATTTAAACAATTAGTACACTAAAATTGAAAATGTTTTTTAATTGAAATACTGTCTTAATATTTGACCCTCAGATGACTTTAACCCTCTGGTGTTGTTCGGTAATTTTAGACCATAAAAAAATGTTTTGAAATTTTAAAAATCGCTACTTCATTGGAATGGTACGAAACTCAGTGACTTTTATGGCAGTCGCTATGTGACCACAAAAAAAAAACCCACCCTAAAATATAAAGAGTACAAAACAGACACACACACTATTATACACACACACACTCTCTCTCTCTCTCTCTCTCTCACAGACACACTCACTCACAGACACACACACAGACACACACACACTCACTCACTCACAGACACACACACACAACCACACTCTATTATACACACACACACAACCTAACCCTGACCCACACACTCTCTCTCTCTCACACACACACACACACACACACTCACTCACAGACACACACACAGACACAGACACACACACACTCACTCACAGACACACACACACACAACCGCACTTTATTATACACACACACACAGCCTAACCCTGACCCACACACTCTCTCTCTCTCACACACACACACACACACAGACACACAACACACACACATATACACACACACACACACACACACACACACACAAATGAACTGGTGTGGCTGTTACAATATGGCATAATTGAGCCAGAAGACTCAAATAAGAGTTTGAAATCAGATTGATTAGCCTCTGATAAAGCATTCCTGTTCATTTTTGTTACATTTGGAAGCTTCTGTCACGAAAACAATTTCCTTGTATGTGTAAACATACCTGGCAATAAAGCTGATTCTGATTCTGATAAGGCTGTGGATAGACGTTGACGCTCAATAGTAAAAGTCCTTGTTTAAACTCTTGGAAAAAGAAGTGAACCTGTATTTTGCTGCTTCACAGAGACCATCAGACCGAAAACACCGCCTGTGGCCATCAGCGCTAAAGCCAAGGCTAGCGAGGTAGTGTTTTCTCCTCAGATCTGCGTTCTCATCACAGCTTTCAGTGATTAAGCGCCTCTGTTGGCTGTGTTAGCAGGAAGAGGAAGACATCTCCACCAGCCCCGGCGTGTCTGAGTTCGTGAGCGACGCGTTCGACGCCTGCGATATAAACCAGGAGGATCTGAGGAAAGAGATGGAGCAGCTGGTGCTGGATAAGAAAGACGGTGAGCTCGACAAACTTCACACACCTGCTTTCCACGACGAAGACTTCAGTGTTGCTGTTGTTACACTGTTATAGTTTTTGTTATTTTGAATTCGTTTTTTTTTGTTTGTTTTAATTTAATATATAAATAAATAATATATACATTGTATATATTAAAGCAATAAGCCCCAAGACGCCGTGGTTTACAGTGAATTTATAACAGCTAAGGGACGGGGATTATTGCTTTTATACAACGGTTATTCACATATACGTAGTAAGGTTTCACAAAATAAAACAGAGCAAATAAAGTGTAATGATATTAATAAAAACAGTATTCTTCAACCAAACAATGTAGTTCCTCAGAAACGGCTGTGGTTCCAACAAAGTGGTTACAAACCTAAACAAAGGTGTATGTTTGTAGAGTCATTTACAGCAGCTTTGAACGCGGCTCAGCCAATCAGAATCAAGCACCGGAACGCTCCGCTTTATAATGAATGTTTTGTCATTTTTATTAAGGTTTAAAAATATATAGTTTTTATTGAGTTAGATTTTTATTTCTTTTTTTGTTAGTTCTAGTTATTTTAACTTAATGAATGAATAAATGAAAATGAAATAATCGCTGAAATGTTTTTGTTTTTGGTGTGCAGAAACATTATTTATTTTCTTTACAGAAACATTTATTTCATTCGGTGTGCCACTTTTTAAATAGCACTAATAATGTTCTGCATTGTACTGATTTTTCTTTTCGCGCAATGGGTTTTTTCTTTCTTTTTTTCGATGAGACTTTTTATCATTATTTAGTTTTTCTTTGGGGTTTTTTCCCAGAGGAGGTTTTTTTTGTACATGGCATTGCTTTTTTTTTGTTATTATTAGTGCTTAATGATTTTTCTTTTTTGCTGAGTTTTGCTTTTTGAGGTTTTTTTTTCTTCTGCAGAATGGGGTGTTTATTTTACTTTGTTTTTATGTATGTATGTGTATATATATATATATATAAAATATTATTTTATTTTACCTTAAAGACTTGTCTGTTTCAAAAACCTTATTTTTTTCTTGTTTTTCCCCTCGTTATTTCAGTATCATTGATATACTGCTCTATTTTTTATTAATATTTTGAATTAGTTTTTATTTTTATATTTTCTGTTTTTATTTTAGTTAACGTTTTACAAATTATATTGTTTTTGTCATTTTTATTAGTACTTTTCAAATATTTCTATTTTTTTTTATTAAATTGTGATTTTGAATTGTAGTTTATTTAGTTGTAGTACTTTAGTGTTTTGTTTTATTGTAGTACTTCAGCTTAAACTAAATCGCTGAAATGTTTTAATGTTTTTAATGCGGAAAGGTTGTTTATATATGCCACTCTTTAAGTATTTGTACTAATAATGTTTTGCATTGTAACACTGCTTTTATTTATTTCTCTTATTGCGTAATGATTTTTAAATTTTTTTGCATGATTTTTTTATACGCCATAATGATTTTTTTATCATTGCATGACTTTTTTCTTCTCCCAGAGGAAGTGTTTAGTTTACTTTAAATTATTTTAACTTTCAAAATCCCGCTTTCCAAGAAAAAGTCTTCAATGTTTCTGGTTTTCCGACAGAAGAGACGGCCGACTGGGAGAAGGAGCTGCAGCAGGAGCTTCAGGAGTACGAGGTGGTCGTCGACCCGGAAAATCGCGAGGATAACTGGGACCGTGAGATTGAGGAGATGCTGCAGGACGACAGCTGAAGCGTGACAGCGCCTCCTCTGGTGTGGAGGACGCACTGCTGTGCCTCAGCGCTCAAATGAAGAAATCAGCAGGACGTTTCTACCATTTCATCAATCTGACCGGACTGAAATATCAGGATTTCCTATAAGAATGCTTAATAAATGCGATGTTTAGCAGTAGAGGCATTCGGTGAGGTGCCAACATGCACAGAACTAAGATCATAATTACTGAGAACACATAAATCAGGTTTAACTTTTCTTTCTGACTAATTTCTGCCACAATTTCTTCCTTCAGAGGTGTACAAGCGAACCGAAACTCAAAAAGCTGAACGGTTGTAGAGCTCCAACACTTATAAGCGCACATAAACTCGTGTGAAGGCAACTGTTTTAATGGCTTCTCATTCCTTTATTTGTTTTTGATTGCCGGTTTGATATTAGTGCTCTGATCATCGTCTGGCAGGTTTTGGTGAAGATGAAATCAAATTGAATTCCATATCTGTTTATTCATTCAGTGTATACATGTTTGTAAGGTGAGAGGTGTAATATAACTTTGTGTTTTTTCAACTTGCACCTTGTCTTATTACTTTAAAGATGATTTCGTTGCAGTAAATAAAGTCTAAAATCCTCTCTTTTCTGGTTTCTCCTTTAGTTTAATACACTGTGCTACATGCTATAATAATGCAGTTAATAAAAGAAACGTTTTATTTTACACAGCGTAGCGTAATTAATGACGTTTGTGTTTTTTATGTCGTTCTACATGCACATGCATGCTATTTAATGACATATTTGTGCCTTATTTAATGGCTCGTATGCATGTTTTTATTATTATTTTTTTATTACAAAACTTGTAGAAGCATACAGAAACAGGGAAGCGAGACATGAATATATTCAAATTAATATAAGTCAAATTAAGTATTATCGATACATAAAAGTGCAAAAATAAACTTGCATTCTTTTAGAAAAGTTGTCATGCATCAAAAGTTTGGCACTCTTTTTGTTATTTGTAAGTCTTAAGAGATGAAATGAGAGTCCAATTCAATTTTTTTGGTGCTTTTGATTATGATATTGTATTATTACTGTGGTATGCAACTGCAACCACATGTTCTGGACTTGGAAAATGTCTTGTCCATGTATGTAGGAATGTATTTGCTTCTGTCATTGTGCAGTGTCCGTGAGCCTGGGAAAGGCGCTATATTAATTAAACATTATTATTATTATTAACAAGAAAAAGGGGGAAAGACAAAGGAGATTTAAGCCATTTTTGCTTATGAATGAAGAATTTTGCATTCAATATAAGAAAATTAACAAATATGCATGTGTTTGCACCATGTGTTTGCACAGGTCAGTTGTTCGTCTTGAACGTGTCACTGCGCACGTAGACGTAATAGCGTCATTCGGGTTGCCAGGTGCTTGTGGAACCCGTTGAATTCGCCTTTGTTTAAACCGAGCGGCAACCTCCCGCTCTCTCTCGTGAAGCCAACACGGAAGTGACTTAAACTGTAATTCATCGACTGGCCGCTAGAGGCTGGCTGCAAAAGGGAGTCAGTCCCATAGATTCCCCATGTTAAAATGCCCAACTTTACAGCAGAAAAAAACGTTTACAGCCTGGTACAAAAAAATTATTTTGGTCTATATAGCTAATTTTGCCCTTCATGACAACTGTGAGGAGGGTGAATTTTTTTATAAGTCATCCGTTTAAATTATATTAAGCCTTAAAGTTCTGCATAATTAAGGGCGTGGCCACTTGAGTGACAGGTGGATTGTCACCGGCGTCGAACTAGGTGGGCGTGGCTTCAGCAACCAGCTCCCACCTCTTTGCACATTTTCGATTATCCGGGAGTGACACGCGGTGACCCGCTGCCAAGATGGCGACGGCCGGCTCCGCCCACTTTAGGCTTCAAAAACCTCTTCAGGAACCTACAGGTGACGTCACGGACACTACGTCCATGTTTTTATACAGTCTATGGTTTAAACATAATAAACCCAAGAGATGCATGCGTCAGTATTTCGACGGCAGTGCAGAAACATTGAATTTTATTGAGTGTCCATTTGTTGTTAATACAATTTAAAGTTGCCATTTTTAAATAATAATAAAAATCCCAACAATCATAATATTCATAACAATAATAATCTTTTGCATTGCATAACGCTTTATGAATAAATGTATTATGGCACATTTAGCCCTAATGTTTTTTTTGTCTTATTGTATAATGATTTTTTTTTACTTTATTTATTTTTAATATTATTTTATTTTGTTAATGTACATTTTGTTTGTGTTGTGGAGGGTTTTTATGTTTGCATTGTAACGCTGTACTAATATATTTTAGGGTTATTGTAGTTAACCTACAACTAAAACTATACAAAGAAAAAAAATTGAATAAATTGAAATAAAATAAACTTTAACTGAAATAAAATAATATAAAAAACGTTTTACTAAAGCTTTATTTCAAGGCAACATTTCTCATTTTGATTTAGTTTAACGTGATGTACTAACATAATTAAAAGTGAAGTAAAAATGAATAAACTATACAAAGCTAAACTACTAAAAATGACAAAAACACAAAATGAAAACTAATTTTTTATTATTTAAATTAAATAATAAAAAATTATAATTGTATCAGAGCAGGATGTTTATTTTAGTTTATTTTTAATATTAATGTTATAACATTTTATTTTGTTAATGTCGTTATTTTTCTGTCTGTGGTGGGTTTAAATTTAAATGTAAGTTCTGTGACGTCATGCGATGTTCCGTGAGGAGGGTTTTTACCGGAAGATCTGGCCTCTCGCGCTCAGTCCACGGTGGCAGCTGAAGCTAATGGAGGCGCGATGGCTCCGTTTCCCGACGAGGTGGATGTTTTTACCGGGCCTCACTGGCGCATGAAGCAGCTGGTGGGGCTCTACAGAGAGAAGGTTCGTGTCCGACCCGTTTTATGTGTCTTTTCACCCACTGAGAGTGTTTTTAAGGCGTCTGGTGGTGTGTTTGAGGAGTGCTAATGTTAGCCGCCAGCTAATACACAGACATCAGAGTTTAATGTGAACGTCTGATAACCATCTGATCTCAGATCAGCACGAACACATCTCTATTTTTACATATTATTCACATTTTTACATATTATGCACACGTAGACTGAGACTATGAGAGTTTAATATGAATGTCTGATCTCAGATCTGTAGGAAAACACGTTATTAAATGCAAAATAAACATCTTAAATCATCACAACATGCCTAAAAGGTTGCATTCAATGTGTCTGATCTCAGATCTGTAGTCATTTGTATCGAATAATAATAAAATAAACACTCAAACCCACGTGACATATGTAAATACGCAGTGTCTGATAATATTGCATATAATATATATTAAATACGGTTATTCTTTTGTTTCTTGTTGCATATTGATTCCCTAACACAATATTAACCTCTAAACACCTCATACTCATTGTAATCTGTGTATTAATATGCAACACCGATGTGAATTACGCCACATTTAGTGATTTTACTGAATTTAAATTTTATTAATTTTTATTATTTATTTATTTTAATCATTTATTTAAATTTATTTATTTTTGTTTAGGTCTTATTATTCATTAATTATTTTTATTTATTTTAATATTTTTTATATAGTTATTTTGATTTTTTTTAATTACTTATTTTATTTGTTTATTTGAATCAAGTTTTTAAATTTATTTTATTTATTTATTTAAATAATTTTTATTTAGGTGTTTAGGTCTTATTATTCATTGATTTAATTATTTGTATTATTTTAATCATTTTTATATAGTTATTTAGATTTTTTTTTATTACTTATGTATTTTATTTGTTTATTTTAATCATTTATTTATTTCAATAATTTTGTATTTAGTTACACAAACCCACGTGACTTATGGAAATGCACATTGTCTGATAATATTGCATATTATAATGTATATTAAATACGGTTATTCTTTTGTTTCTTGTTGCATATTGATATTTTAATATTTATTTAATATTTATTGTTACATAACCATTGTAATCTGTGTATTAATACATGCAACACAGATGTGAATGACGCCACATTCAGTGTGTCTGATCTATAATCAGATCATTTCTAGATTAAAACACACTTTAATGATGAATGTTTTGGACATTAAACTCATTAAAGCACTGAAATGAGGTGTAAAAGTGGCCTGCTTTAGTCTGATTCAGTCTGATTAGGTCGGTCACTCTAAACGAGTTTTGCATGGTTTCTGATGGTTTTAGTGAGTGTGCAGCTTTAAACAGACTGAATGGGTGTTTGGGTTCGTCCGTCACACATGAGAGTGTGAGAGTGTGTGTGAGTGAGTGTGTGTGAGTGAGTGTGTACCCTTAGACCTCAGTTTGAAAACCCCTAATCTAGAGAGGACGATGGCTGATATAATGCTAATATTTTACGAGCAGTTCAGTTTATTGAAGCCATTTGAGTCGTACATAAAATCTCAATATCAGAATGGCCAAATATCATCTGATTTGTCGGCCTGATATATTGGTCCATCACTACTGAATATGAAGCGGATTTATTTTTCTTGGGCAGATGAGAGAGAGATACTGGATTATTTATTATTCTGTCATATTTCATTGCTTTGTTTCGTGTGTTTGCATCCACAGCTGTCCAACACCAACTTCTCCAACAACAGGGACTTCCGCTTGTTTCTGCAGTCGCTCCTCGCCACGTTTGAGGAGTTCAAGATGCACGAGCAGATCGAGAACGAGTGCATCATGGAGCTGCTGCAGGAGCGCAGTCAGACCGTGTATCACGTGCACGCCGACAACAAGCTCTCTGAGATGCTGTCGCTCTTCCAGAAGGGGCTGCGCAGCGTCAAGGTGTGTGAGAGTGTGAGAGTGTGTGTGTGTGTGTGTGTGTCTGTGTGTCTGTGTGACTGTGTGTGTGTGTGTGTGTGTGTGACTGTGTGTGTGTGTGACTGTGTGAGTGTGTGAGTGTGTGTTTGTGTCTGTGTTTGTGTCTGTGTTTGTGTATGTGTGAGTGCGTGTGTGTGTGCGTGTGTTTGTGTGTGTGTGTGTGTGTGTGTGTGTCATGTTGGGTTGCAGCAGAAATGACTCTCTTCACCTGTAATATGGGGTGATGTTTGCTGCACTGATAATCTCTGATGCTGTCGCAGATGTTCAGCGGTCAGACCGACATGACGCAGACCTTAGTTTATGCCCTCATCGTGGTTTATTATAGTTAACTAAAACTAAATCCATAATAATAAAAAAGTGTTACTTGGAATAGAATAAAATATAAATACTTATTTTGTTTCTGCTAGTTGCCAAGGCAACATTTCTCATTTTCGTTTAGTTTAACTTGGTGTACTAAAAAAACTAAAACTGAAATAAAAATGTATAAAATAAATATTTCAGTCATTTTTTTACATTTTAATCCTATTTATTTAGCTATTTTTATTTATTTAATTTAAGTTTTTAGTGGTTTAATGCTTTTTTTGTATTTATTGTAGGCATTTTTTATCTATTTATTCAGTTTGTTAGTTTCTCATTTTCATTTAGTTTAACTTTGTTTACTAAAATAACTAAAACTAAAAATAATGTATAAAACTGTATAGACATTTCAAAAAATATTTTTGTCAATTTTTTTTATTTTAATAGTTTTTTTGTTTTTCATTATCTATTTTTATTTGTTTGTTTTAATCAAGTTTTTATTAATATTTTTAATTTATTTATTTTAATTATTCATTAAGTTAGTTTGATTTTATTTTTTATTCTTCATTTAGTTTTTATCATATTTTTGTTGTTTGTATTTTTATTTTACTATTTAAATGTATTTAAACTAATATTTTAGTCAATTATTTATTTTAATAATAGTTTATTTAGTGAGATTTTATTTTATTATCTATTTTATTTGTTTGTTTTAATCGTGTTTTTATTGATTTAATATTGTTTTATTTTTATTTTTATTTTTTTTTGAAGCTAGATTAAATTTTTTTTATTCTTTATTTGTTTTATCTTATTTAAAGCTTTTTTTTACTATATAGACATTAAGAAAAAACTAACAAAAATGACAAAAACAAACAACAAAATACTAAAACTAACTAAAAACAAAATGAAAAGTATAAAAATAAAAGCTAATTCAAAATATCAATAAATACTATAATAGTATCTCAAAGACGTGATTATACTAAAATAACACATGAATGAAAAATGCAGATGCACAAATGTTAGCAGCAGCAAAAACAGCCCGTTTATTTGTAAGGGACAGAGAAAAGTTGGAAAACAGTAATGGAACAACGTTTTAAATTATTATAAGAAACTATATTATATGTATAAAAATATATAATTTAAGTGGACGTCAAGATAAAATGCTATATTTAAGTATAACTGCTGTTCAGAATCATGCAAAAGGTTTTTGACTTCAATAGACAAAAGTCCATTTTGACGCATCAGGCCAAATTTGGGGAATTTTCCACTTGATTGTGTACAGGGCATTGGGAAATCCTGCGGGAAATGGAAAGAATGAAGATAGTGAGTGTCTGTAAACAGCGGCCTTATAATAACTGCGCTTATGAAATCAATTCTCATGTGGCATCAGCTTATGGAAAGCTGTTGTGTGTTGAAGTGTGTGTCAGTCTGGTTTTGATGGAGACACAGCGACTCCTTTATTAAGAAATGACTGGTCAATGGTCCGTGTTGAGTGCTGTTTCTGTGTTTCAGAGCGAGTGCGAGCAGCTGAATTACGCGCAGCAGCTGAAGGAGAGACTGGAGGCCTTTACCCAGGACTTCCTTCCTCACATGAAGGAGGAAGAGGAGGTGAGGCAGACACTTCTTCATCATGCTGGTACTACACTAGAGCAAAACAAACAGCACCCGCGGATCTGTAACTCTAGTGTTCACTAAACACACGTCTGGATTACATCACATGTTATTCAAATTGGTCTGGAGTACTTTACAGCGTACCATACGGTTTTTGTTTTGTTTTCATTTTATTATTTTATGTTTTATTTTAAAGTGTCTCCTGAGGTTCTATTAATAATACTTTATTCTATTTAGGTGTACCATACAATTCTGTAAGCTGTGATTTTTATTTTATTTTATTTTAAGTATCAATTAATAATCTAACCTTTCCATAAATATAATAAGCCTTTAAATTTCATTATAAATGTATTAGTCATGTTTGTATATAATACCAGAGGGAAGAGTTATATTTTGATTGTTTTCATTTTTCTTTATTTCTTTATTTTTACAATATACACCAACTTTACAAAGTTTGGGATCAGTACAACTTTTTTTTTTTTTAGTTAAGTCTCTTCTGCTCACCAAGGCTGCATTTATTTGATCAAAATTACAGTAAAAACAGTAAAACAGTGAAATGAGAGTGTGTGTGTGTGTGTGACTGAGAGTGTGTGACTGCGTGTGTGACTGTGCGTGTGTGTTGTGCGTGTGTGTGTGACTGCGTGTGTGTGTGTGTGACTGTGCGTGAGAGAGTGTGTGACTGTGTGAGAGAGTGTGTGTCTGTGTGTGTGTGAGAGTGTGACTGTGTGTGTGTGTGGTGTGACTGTGCGTGTGTGTTGTGCGTGTGCGTTTGTGACCGTGTGCGTGTGCGTGTGCGTGTGCGTGTGCGTGTGTGTGTGTGTGTGTGTGAGTCTGATATTTCTGCATGTATCCTCAGGTGTATCAGCCCATGCTGATGGAGTACTTCACGTACGAGGAGCTGAAGGCCATCAAGCGGCAGGTGATGCTGCAGCACTGCAGTAATCTCTCGTGGAGCTCCGCCGCAGACCTGCTGAAGGGCCTGAACCTCTGGAGCCACGCCGAGGAGCTGCACAAAGCCTTCAAATACTCCGACCACGAGAAGACCGAGGACGGTGAGATCGCATTCACAGCACCACCTCTAGGGCTGCACGATTCACTATCTAAAGATGAAGAAATTAAGACAGCCTTAAATATTAGTAGTGTAGTTTTACAGTTCTACTGTAAGTTATTATTGTTGTTGTTATATTTTTCTAAAGACTTAATTATTTATAGTAATTTTGTTGAATATTTCTATTCAGTAATAACAACAACAACAATAATAATTATTGTTATTATAAAACTATCAGTATGGCTATTATTTTATAGTTATATTGATATATGATCAAAACATTTTGGGCCATTTTAAGCTCGACAAACAAGCACAGCAAACTTTATTTATTTAAATTTATGGTTATTTATTCGTTTTAAATAATTTATTGAAATATATATTATATTTATATAATATGTAATATTATTTTTAAATTTAGTTATTTAATTTGTTGCATTTATTTTTTATATATTTTTCACTTGAATTATATTTAAAGTTTTCAAATAAATGCATGTTTCCAAAAGCAATGACTAAAGTGCCCCTATTATGCCATTATGAATATTGCCTTTCATGCAGTGTGTAATGTAGCTGTGTGTGAATGTAAACGATCTGCAAAGTTGTGAAGTCTTAAAAAACAATTTTTATTAAAAAAAATTCACTTTTTTTACTTTAATTCCACTTTCTTTACTTGAATTATATTCAAGGTTCAAGGAAATCCACTGTTAAAAAAGACAAGTAAAAAAAAAAAGTTTCATGGATGCATGATGCTTTCAAAGTCTGTGAGAATATTAACTATATTCAATTATAAATATTCTACATTAAAAATGTTACTTTCATATAGTTATATGAAATTATTGAATTATATTAAGTTAATAAGTGGAAACCCTTTAACAATGAGAATAAACATCTATTCTATTCCCACTGTTAAAAAGACAAGATAAAAAAAAAAGAAAGCTCAATAGATGCATGATGATTTCAAAGTCAGTGAGTAATTAAATTAAATTATAAATACAAGGCTACACGGCACAGTGTATTTTATTTTATTTAGACTCCAAAACAATATTAGGAACCTTAAAAACGGCATAATAGAGGCATTTTAAAATCATGAAATCATGATTTCAATATTGACAAGAATAATCATAATTATGATTTTTGCCATTATTGAGCAGCTCTAGCACTTATGTTTGTCCTGTTTACAATAAAACCATAAACATAATAATATAATAATAATAATAAAAAAAGATTTCATGCCACTTTGTCACCCCCTTCTGAGTTTAAAAAGGTTCTTTCTTTTTGATGAAATATATATATATTTTTTTTAAGGTATTTTTACCATTATAATAATAGAAAAAAAAAATTTCATTGATTTTTATAAATGCATCTGAAATTGTAATTGGAATTTTTTTTTTTTTTTTTTTACAATTACATTTTTCCCCAAATCGTGCTGTCCCAATATCTACCATGCACAGTGTACAATGTGACATACTTCTGCGTGAATGTTTAGTTGAAAATAATGTAGGACGGATTAGATATTTTGAATGTTTTTAGGCTGTGATCTTATTGATTCCGAGTTTAATCTCCTCTGCTTCAGCGGAGGAGCAGCTGAGTCGTGTGAGTGATGTGAGCTGTGAAGCGTGCTGCTGCTCTCAGAAGTCATGTGTAAGCGCTGCTGCTGGGGCTTGTGTTCTCAGAGCGGGGCACGGTCTCGGTGCTGCCGCAGGAGCTGCTGCTGAGGGTCTTCAGGTTTCTGGGGCCGGAGGATCTGTGTCGCTGTGGACAGGTGTGCAGCGTCTGGGCTCAGGTGGCCAAGACCGGATCTCTGTGGGGACACCTGTACCCCGTCCGCTGGGCTAGAGGTGCGCTGTAGCTCCGTCTGCTTTATTACTTCACTTCAGGAAGTGCAGAGAGACCTGGGTTATAAAATGAGCCACAATGAAGCCGGCATGATATTGTGGGGGGAAAAAGAGACGTAGGAACTTGATTTTATCAATTGTTGCTGATTGGATTGTGAAAAGTGAAATAAAATAATTAGAATA